TCAGTTCTCCTCCAGACTTCATCCCCATCATAGGGTGAGCCAGAAGGTGAGTGATGGATCCTCCCTGCGTTCACGCCCACCACCAACACACTTCCTAGCAGACATGACGCTCAATCTGCTGACACCAGAAACCTGCTTTCTTTCCTTTATTCTGCTTCCCGCCTTTACCGCTCCACCCTGTTCCAGACCCCTCCGCTGTTCCTCCCATCCTGCTGTTTCAACTTCCCTGGAGCTCCAGGAGAACATGCACTATATTATTATTAAACCATAGGAGCAAAACATCTGGAAATGAACGCTTAATTTAATGACATGTTAAAAAAATTCCCATCAGCATCCTGCATATGTTCAGTTTCTGCCCAAATATTTTCATTTGGGTTTTAGTAACGGGGAGAACTAGGATCATCCATGATTTGGATGAACTATGTTTGGTCTCTGCTTCCAAACTCAGCATCTCTTCATCCATTCCTGCAATAAGAGGTTTGGTTTTAAGTTGAGAAGCTCTTTTGGAAGCTGGATTTGATTAAACTTTTAAGCCTCTCTGTAAATAAAATAAATATTTTGATGAAGTATGATGAAGAACCAATAGTTTGCATCCAATCATTTAATTAAACAGTCGTAGTTTTTGGGAATATATAAGAATTATATATCTTTCAGTATATTTGAATGCGACAAACCGGATCTTCTCGCCGTCCTTTTCCCTGTTTGGTGTGATTGTAATTGCGGATTTTGAGCAAGAAATAGCTTGGCTTTGTTTTATGACGGTGACGGATGGAGAGGAGTAGCGGTGGATGTGGAACAGCTCTCATTGATTAACATGACAGACCAGTACTCCGCACGATGTACGTGGGTGGAGCGGAGCGCTGATGGAGGATGTAGAACCTGCGGGTAAGGAGCAGCGATGCGCCTGAGGGGAGCAGCTTTAACGATTTAAATGCCTGGGCATCATTTCCTGGGCATTACGCTGCCGTGCGTTATGAAGAAGTTAGGCTGTTATTGGACAGAACTTCTGGACTCGTTATTAATACTCTATATATATATATATATATATATATATATATAGCCTATGTCAGCGTTTGAGGAGATTCTGGGACGTCAGGCAGACGCTGGATAAATCGGCGAGGTGGGACAGGAGTCTAAGGTTAACATGTATGAAAAACTTCCCTGAAACAGACAGAGCGTCTGCATTATCACCTCTACCAATGAGAGATGTTCGTTTTTGATAAATCCATCCAAACTGACCTCTCTGTGTTGTTGTGTAGAAGCTGCAGATCCAAAGCCTGGAAGCCAGAGAGGAGAAGAGTTCTTCTGCTCAGTCAACTCCATCAAACACGCCACACAGCTCCCCTAAACAACAGCGCAGGTACAGGTGCTGAAGGTTTGGACGTAGCCCTCTTCAAAAAATTAACATTTTTGATTTTCATAACAGGACGATTTACTATTCTTTCAAGGTCAAAAATCCCAATCGTTTTGTTCTCAGACGATCTGCCACGTTATAACGTCTAGATAACGAAACACTGTCACATTTTTAGGGTAGAGAATTATGCTCTAACTTCTAAAAAATAGACTGGCAAAGTTAGCAATGATATCATTTAAAAGCTAATAAAATTCTCTACTAATCCATGTAAAAATATATACTATTTGTTTTAATTGCATATATTTGTAAATTACATGTTTGCTAAAATACCCATAAAACAGAAAATGTATTTTATCTTGATTGAAAATTGCTTTTTATTTAAAAAGTAATAATATAGAAGTCAACACTGATTAAAATAAAGTTATTTTCTTTGTTTATATTTTGTAGAAAAGCATTGGTATTTTCTGTTCTCATGTTGAATCCATTAAATTATGTAAATTCCAAATGTTGGGCGTCGGGCACAATTGGTTATTATAAATTTGGATGCAATAGTCATGCAAAGATGGCAGTAAAACCAGAAGAAAACTAAGACAATTTCCTATTTTTCCTAATTTCCTAAACGCTTTAAAATGGTATAATTGCCAACTTTGCAAGGCTAATTTTTAGAAGTTAGAGCATAATCCTCTACCTGGTCGGGTTTGAAACAGAGGGAAATCATCCAGTCTGTTGTGAAAATCAATAATGTTTTATTTTTTTAGAGGTCTAGTTTGTCCGCCTGTGGACAGAACGGCTAATCCGCTGGTTTATTGACCTAAATATAAGCTGGTGAAACGCTGTGTGTGCAGGGGCTGGTTTGGAGGTACGAGCTCAGAGGTCAGCATCAGCTCCTCCAACAGCAGCATGGACATGGGGGGAGGAGGAGTTTCAGGAGAGCACATGGGAGGCGGTGCGGTGGATCGGTGGGGAGTGTTTGGGCCTCGTCTGCCTGTCCAGAGTTCAACTCCTGATGTGGGATCAGATGGTTCTGCTGCAGGTAACGGCTTCTCTCCACATCGACCCACAGCATGACTAAATGTGAACAAAACAGGATTTATTTTATTTTAGGTGAAGCTTTAGCAGCCTGCGTTGATTCATTTAGCAGCATGAGGAGGGTTGACATCTACTGTCAGATTCTGGATTCAGGTTAAAGGATGAAAGTAGGACCTTCAGACCAGCAGCAAACACTGACCCCCCCCATTGGCCTCTAGAGAGGCTGACGCAGACTCTCTGTTCACATAAAAACATTTCTACAGCAGAAAAAGCTGCTCAGTATCTGCTGTTAGGCTGATGGAACGCTTCGCTTTCAGCTGGAGACTTTTAAAGCTTTTCCTCCAGAATGACTCTAGGTAGGTAATATGTTCAGATAAACGGGATTATTTTTAAGAATTAGTTATAGAGTTTCTGCATTCTAAATAAGTTAGAGCTGTTGTGTTTTTTCTCCCTAACATCATTTTAGGGAATTTTAAACGGGATAAATCAAGAAATCAGTGTTTAATTGAATTAAAGGTAATTTAGCTGCTTTAAAGGAAAAGTCCAGTTATGGAGGAATAATCAATGGATCATTATTTAAAACTAAAACT